GAAAAATAATCTCCATCAGAGACATCAAGGTGGATGAAGATGCTACTTGGAACTGGGATGTAAGTTCAGTAGTTAAAGAAAAAAATCAATGATGTGATTCCTCAGAACGGAAATGAAGAGAGTGATGAGGATGAATTGGAACCTGGTGTCAATGATGTTGATTCAGAAACAGAAGAAGATAAGGTGAGAATAAGACCTCTACCAGACAATTATGCAAAGTGTAATACTGCTATAGTTGAACCTGAAAGCTTTGATGAAGTTTCAAAATCTTCTGTCTGGATGAATGCAATGGAGGAAAAGATCAATATGATTGTGAAAAGTGAAACTTGGGAGCTAGCTGAAAGACCACTAAACAAGGAAGTCATTGGAGTAAAATGGGTGTACATGACTAAACTAAATCCAGATGGTTCAGTTAACAAGCTGAAAGAAAGTCTAGTTGTCAAAGGATATGCTCAATAATTTGGAATAGATTACACAAATACCTTTGCTCCAGTTGCAAGCTATGAAACAATCAGATTGCTTATGGCAATTGCAATTCAAAGTGGTTGGAAAATCTACCAATTGGATGTTAAATCAGCTTTCCTAAATGGATATCTGAATGAGGAGATTTTCATAGAACAACCTAAAGGCTTTCAAATAGATGAGAATGAGGATAAAGTCTATCTTTTGAAGAAAGCTTTGTATGGATTGAAACAAGCTCCAAGAGCTTGGTATAGTCGAATAGATGATCACCATGGTTATCTTGGTTTTACGAAGAGTTTAAATCAACAAACTCTGCATATAAAACAAGTGAAAGCAAAAATGGTCATCATATCACTTTATGTTGATGATCTCTTGATCATTGGAAGTAGCAAAAGATCAATTAGAGAAGTGATTGATAAATTGAAGAAAGTTTTTGAAATGACTGATCTAGGTGAGATGCATTACTTCCTTGGAATGGAGATTCATCAAAATTAGCAGGAAATTTTAATCAGTTAAAAGAAGTTTGCAAATGATGTACTAAGGCGATTCAACATGAAAAATTGCAAATCTGTTAACACACCATTAGTCCAAAATAAAAAAAAATTGTTAAAGGAATATGGTGCAAAGCAAGTTGATGCAAAAGATTTACAGAAGTTTGACTGGTTGTTTGCTGTATTTAACAGCAACCAAACCTGATATTACATATGCTGTAAATCTTCTATCAAGGTTTAGACAAGAGCCTTGTGAATTACATTTTCAAGCTGCAAAACGAGTCTTGAGATATGTCAAAGGAACTGATGAAATGGGGATTTAGTTTAAGAAGTCAGAATTGTGCACACTAACTGGCTACACTGATAATGATTGGGCATGAAGTTTTGAAGATATGAAAAGTACTTCTGGCTACATATTTTATGTTGGTTCAAGTATCATATGCTGGAATTCAATGAAGCAGAAAACTGTGGCACAATCAACAGCTGAAGCTAAATACATAGCTGCTTCAGAAGCAAGAAATCAAGCAATTTGGCTGAGAAAGGTGTCAGAAGATCTAAAGTTCAAACAAGATTAGGCCACAATTATTTATGGTGATAATCAATCTACAGTCGCAATGGTGAAGAATCCAGTCTTCTATGGTAGAACCGAACACATAAAAATCAAATACCATCAATCAGAGTAGCTCAAGAACAAAAAGAGATAAAGTTGGTGCATTGCAAAACTGATGATCAACTAGCTGACATTTTGACAAAATCTTTGGGCAATGCTAAGTTTGAAACATTAACATACAATCTTGGTGTTTCTAGTAAAAATGTCAAGGATGAATGTTGAATATAGTTGACATTCTTACTTTCACATTTCTTGTTTTAGTAGGCTACATATTTTGTATCTTAAGTCTTAAGTTTAAGTGTTCAAATTGATAACTTTATCTTTGTAAAAGTTATCTTAGTTATATCTTTATCATAGATTTTTTGTTAGATTAAGAGGTGGAAAAATGCGTCTTTGTAAGTCTATAAAGTCAACATGTATTGCAATGAAAAGTTCTTCCATCTTCTTTCTTAATTTTTCAGTCGAATAGAGTAATTCTTCCTTGTTAAAAAATAGAGTCTGAGAGTTATAATTCCAGTAAGCATTTAACATATACGGTGAGAAGAGTGCATATAAGGTGAGAGTGTTGCATATCCGGTAAGCACTCTGTTTCTTACAAAAACAGAGTATCGTTCGGTAAATCTGGTAAGTGCCTTTGTATATACGGTAAGTCTAGTGAATATCCAGTAAGTTGAGTGTATATCCGGTGATTTGAACTAAATAGTTAGGAGTGTTAAGTCCGGTTAGCATATTGTAAATCCGATGAGTTCCACTCTTTGATTCATAAATCCCATCAACCAAGCAAAGACTTAAAGTCAAGTGAGGAAGAAAGTATTTGAGCTAATCTTGGCCAGACACACATGAATCGGTTTGTTTATTTTTCCCAGGATGAATGGGCAAGGTGGAAAATGTAGTCTCTAAGGGCAATGACCCTAAAACCTGGACCTTTGCAAGGGGAGGCTGCGTAGTCGAATTCCCGACAAGAGAGCTAGCCCCCACAGCTTCGCTAAAGCCAAACCTATAGGGTGGAGATATTCTCGAACGTTTAGAAGGATTCGAACTAGTATCCATCTGCACTGAGAACATAAAGGAAAAAGGACAATAGAACAAAATGATAAAAGTAGCTAGTTAAATGCTTAGACTGAAAAGTAAGGCAGCTAATAAAACAACACACCAATAGTGGTTTGAATACCAAGGTTGTAGGAATTGGAATTCTAGGGATGGAACAATCTCTCAACTTTGCAGATTTCAGAAGGTAAGCAAAAAAATAGGCTAATAGGCCATAAAGCTCTTATAAGGTACGGCTGTGAACTACAAAACGTGGTTCGACTATAGCAAATCATCACAATTAGAACATACTAATTTAAATAGAAAGACAAGCGGTGAATTGATGTTCACAAACACTCACCATAAGTGCGAGGCATGTTGATAGAAGGAAAGGGGTTGTCGGGTTGAAACTCGCAGTTACCTTGAATAAAGAAAAAACCATCCTTCCAAAATGGCACTTGTGTAGAAGGGATTACCAACTCTGGACAAGCTATGGAATAGCGTTGAGAAAAAGATAATACCCCTTCTAGTGGTTCACAATATTCCCCAATGGCCTAAGGTGATAAAGCAATATATCTAAAGAGAGCTCCCCTAGCAAGCTTGCAATGCCCCAAGCAAAAAGGACCCAAACAATTTTGCTTACCCATTTAGATTAAGTTGAGAATGGGCCATATTTAAGGAGCATAGAGTATCCCTAAAAAATGGAGTGTAAGGGTCTCTAAATCCTATTTCCAATGAATGCTTGTGAATTGCTATGCAACCTAGGGATGGATGACCTACCATTTGAAATGGCTTGGGACATAAAAGTTCTATATCATTAGGAATGTTGGAATGAAACCAAATTTCAGCCAAGTTTTGTTCAGCAAGATTGCTAAAGATTCTTGAAATGTGAAAAACATTCCCAACGTTCTCATTATGATCGACTGGCACATTGGAGGGTTTTGCCTATCACGTTATGTGTCCCATACTCAAGATGAAAGCTTCCTACTTGACCAAAAAGTTTTGGGTTAACACATACACCAAAATGGGTCACAACTCTATAGGGGGAGCACATCAAAGTATAAAATTTCCACAGATGAAAAAGAGTTGTCGAAGTATCACCTCAAAAATTAGAACTCCTTGAATCAGAATTGCTGATGCACTCCGATAGTCAGTTTGAGAAGACAATGCAAAAAGGTACGAGCAAGAGACATAAAAATAGTAATTACAAGGATAGAAAACTGAAGCGGCAAAATGAAGAAGACCAACCGAAATAATGATATATTTATAGATTCGGACAAAATGTATTAGCCATTGAAACAGGCTAGTAACAATTATAATCGTTGAAAACAACGGACAACTACTGGAATCCCAAGGTAAAACAACCAAGTCATACGTAACCCACGTGCGTCCAGAAGAGTTATGACCCACTAAATAAGAAAAATACTATTCATCTCCAGTGGGGATGCATCCCCAGTCTATGTGGATGTTAATGATTAGTTAAATGATAGGTGAAATTAAATGACTTATTTAATTTCACCTATTATTTAACTAATCATTTACATCCACATAGACTAGGGATGCATCCCCACTGGGGATGAATAGCATTTCTCACTAAATAAAAGCCCACCTGGTAACAGCTGCCAACATGTTCCCTACGCTTCCACTGACAAACAAGAACGATGGAAATATAGTAAAAAACCTCAATAGCTTTGGCAATCACTCCTTATGGTAAAAAAAGTCTAGATCTAATATAAATATTAAAATCGGACTGGGGGGCTACTTTTTAAACTAATAAATACACCTCGCAAGATCCACCTTTCGATGAGGTAGAAAGCAACACATGTATCGAACAAAGAAGCAAAAGGTTCGCCTAAGAGTAACGAATCATTTGCTGTACACAGGTTGGCTATAGGCTATCACATGGGAGCATACAAAGAAGTAAATAATCGGATCTGTTACACGACAACTAATAAGAGGCCGACACCTATTATTCCCTCAAAATAACCAAATTACCCGACAATTGGTGGGAAATCTATATATACCCCTCGTAGGAAGAAGAAGGCATACGGTTCAAATATCTCCCCCTAAAATAGCTATTACTCTTCTTATTCTAGTTGAAGAATGTAGACTAGTGAATTTAGGAGGTGAAACTCATAGTTAGGTGATTGTATTTATATTTGATTTTCGATTGTAATTATTTTATCAATAAAATTGTTGGATCCGATTTTTATCATCAACACGTAGTTTCCTTCAAAAGCTCTTCTACAGAAAGCAAAAATAAAAGCAAAAGCAAAAGACATGTTAGTCCCGCAAAAAGCCATGCTATATTTTCCTTGTTATAATCAGCCACGGCTGCCTACTCCCATTTACTAGGATCATTTATATATTTATATCTAACCGATAGTTGCTATTTGTTGGATATAGCAAACATGGAAACTCAAGCAAGCACCACCATGAAGAAAGCCCTTCTGGGCCTCAACTGTATAATTCTAGCCATAGGCAACTGCGGCGGTCCTTTAGTAATGCGTCTCTACTTCATCCGAGGAGGCAAAAGAATCTGGTTTTCAAGCTGGCTAGAAACCAGTGCCTGGCCAATCATTTTCATCCCTCTTACAATAGCATACATGCAGCGTCGCAAAACTGGCGGTGCCACCAACAAAACCCAGTTCTTCTTAATGAAACCTCGCGTACTTATGGCTTCAGCAGCCATCGGAGCTTTGACAGGACTCGATACCTATCTCTACGCCTATGGTGTTGCGAAACTACCAGTTTCGACCTCTGCTCTTATTATTTGTATTCACGGCAGGATTTGCGTTTCTTCTTGTTAAGCAGAAGTTTACAGGTTATTCGATAAATGCTATCGTTTTGTTGACTATTGGGGCTGTAATTTTGGGTCTTCATACAAGCGGTGACAGACCAGAGGGTGAATTGAATAAGGAGTATCTTTTAGGGTTTTTCTTAACACTTGCTGCAGCAGCTTTGTATGGACTCATTTTGCCTCTGTGGAGTTGATGTATTTGAAGGCTAAACAGGCTATTACTTATACATTGGTATTGGAGATACAAATGGTTATTTGTTTCTTTGCTACTGTCGTTTGTACAGTTGGAATGCTCATCAACAATGATTTCCAGGTTCTCTCTCTCTCTAGCCTAGATATGTTATTACAAAATTGTTATCCAATTAATACGTTTTAGACATTTAAAAACATCACATCTATTAGGGGGGTTTAGTGGGGCTAACATATGCAAATGAGCCGAATTGACTAGACTCATGTGCGAGCTGGCTTGTAAACGGTTAGCTAAAACGTAAAAAAATTGGCCAGCCTAGCTCGGCACAACCCACCCCACTCCAATCCACTCCACCCATCCCACAAGGGACGAGTTGGAGGGAAAGCTGAGGACGAATTTCTGAAAATGAGCTTGCTCTCACTCGACTCACCCTATATGTCAGCACAAGCTGGCTCGCTTAGTGGGTCAGATTGAGAGCCACTAGACCCATTTAACATTCCTATATCTTCTTAACAAATGAAAAAAAAAAAGTCTATGTATTTTCAAACACATTGGTACATTAGCGTCTTTTTACTTGCTAAGAGTTGATAATGTCTAAACATGTTAAGGGCCTATTTGAGCGACATTATTCTCCAAGAATGCATTTTAGAATAGTGATTTGATGAGAGAATATGTGGTTAAAAAATAAGGAATTTTGGATTTGCAAGTAATATTATTTTACTCAAAAATGTGGTTAAAAATAAGTGAGAAAAAAATGTATTTTAGAAAAAAGGGGATCAAACAAGTGCTAAAAATGTAGTACGACCAGTTCGAAAAAGCATATATTAATTCTCCTGCACTAGTTAAGATGTGTTGTCCTCCTTTGACTTCCCTTCCAATTGTTCTTCACTAAAATTTTTGATGTCTCATCACATTAGCTCTTGTTAACAAATTAGACGCTAAGACATTCAAGTGTACGTGTATTGTATAGTGTATTCATGTGTTTTGCTTTCCTATGTGTTTTAAATTAGGACCTTGTCCAAATTCCAGAAAGCTTTTCTTCAGTAACTGTCACCTAATTGATTGCCTATTCTTTAAGTTTCTTTGCATAGAGGAACATTTATCTTCTAGTGCTGTTGTAAAGAATTTTTTTGTTGACAATGGGTGTTGACCTCGAAAAATGGTTCCGACACATGGCCAACAGAATGTCTTCGAGTAACCTCTTCCCTGCACATGTAGCACGCTTTTAGTCACCTGTGGCCTTTCCCAAAGGGGTTGGGAGCGACCGTGAGTACTCCGACGATCAAGTCAGTTTCTGGTTCAATCGGAAAATGTTCTCTGACGGTAGATCACTCACCGGGAAGTGGTCGATAAAGTCTAGTAATAAAAATACCAATATTTAAGGGAAAGGATAATACTCAAGTTTTAGTGTAGTGGGAGAAAATCTTGATTCAGATCCTTCTTCTGGCTCAAGGAGGGGATATTTATACTAAGGATATGAAGGTGAGAACCATTGGATGAGGAGACACATGTTACCAAATTTTCAGGGCCATCCCATCATAGGTGTCAATTCGTCCCTCCATAGGTGGGCTAGCATTGAATATTTCTGACAAATGCAGTTGATTTGACCGTTTAGGTTCTATCACCGTCTCATCAGTCAGGAATTTGACTTTGGAAAGATCTTTGTACCAGAGATCTTTTATCGGCAAGGCGAGGTAGGAAAGGCGTTGCAGCGTTGTAGAAGCGTAGTACGGGCCTTTGCATCCGCGGTGTAATTGCGGATGAGTCTGGTTTCTTCGCTGATGCGCGTTCAGTTCGTTCCTCATGTAATCACTTCAGCATATACAATTAGCTCGTCCCATGCATAATCACATCGGTAGATACGTGGCCTAGTGTGAATCACCTCTACTGACACTTGGTGGGCAAGGTGGCGGGTCTGACATAGGCCCGTAAGAATTGTCCCGCAAGTCCATGTATGGATATTTATATAGTACAAGGACTTTCAGTTCCGTGGTTTGAGTTGGGAATTCCGTAGGGATTTGTCGTGACATTAGATTATGCTCTGGCCGAAGTGATATGAGTTACAACTCTGTGGAGAGCTGTTGCAATGCAAAGCTGTTATGGCCGAAGCGATAGGAGTTGGCAACCCTGAGAGGAGTTGTTGCAATATCGAATTCTGCTCTGGTAGATATGGGTTGGCAACTCTGTGGAGAGTTGTTGCCACATCGGATTCTGCTTTGGCCGAAGTGATAGGAGTTGGTAACTCTGTGGAGAGCTGTTGTAACCCGAAGTTGTTGTGGCCGAAGAGATAGGGTTGGCAACCCTAGGGAGAGTTGTTGCAACATCGGATTCTGCTTTGGCCGAAGCGATAGGAGTTGGTAACTCTGTGGAGAGCTGTTGTAACCCGAAGTTGTTGTGGCCGAAGAGATAGGGTTGGCAACCCTAGGGAGAGTTCTTGGAACATCGGATTCTGCTTTGGCCGAAGTGATAGGAGTTGGTAACTCTGTGGAGACCTATTGCAACGCGAAGCTATTGTGGCCAAAGCGATGGGAGTTGGCAACCCTATGGGGAGTTGTTGTAACATTGGATTCTGCTATGGTGGGTTGGCAACTCTGTGGAGATTTGTTGTAACGCAAAGCTGTTGTGGCTGAAGCGATGGGAGTTGGCAACCCTAGGGGGAGTTATTGGAACATCGGATTCTGCTCTGGCCGAAGTGATATGGGTTGGCAACTCTGTGGAGAGTTGTTGCACCGCGAAGCTGTTGTGGCCGAAGTGAGTTCTAGAGAGCCTTGGGTCTTGTGCTAATAATTTGAAGGTTTTTACGTCTTCCAAAGTCAATCATGAGGGGACACTTGCTTGCTTCCAAGGCATGCCTCCATTGCCATAAATGATAATGAGGGGGGCGCTTGCTTGGATCAACTCGAACTTTTCGAAGCTAGGCAGAGAATTCATGACTAGCTTCAGATAGGCTGCCATATGTTTGTCTCGGGCAAAAAAGTTCCAATTAACCTGATTTACTACCAACTGTGAATCACTGCTGATAATCAATCTTTTTACCTGCAATTCTTTGGCTAGTCGAAGTCCAGCAAGAAGAGCCTCATATTCAGCCATGTTATTGGAAGTCTTGAATCCGAGCCTCACGGCACAGTTAAGTTTGTGCCCTTCTGGGCTTTCCAAAACAATACCAGCTCTGGAGCCTGTCTCTTTCGAGGATCCATAGACGAGTAAATTCCAGGTAGAGAGCTCTGCTGGTTCCATCTTCACTTCAATTTCGGGGGCTTTGGTAAATTCTGTAACAAAATCAGCTAGGGCTTGACCCTTGATTGCTATTCGGGACGTGTATGTTATGTCAAACTCGCTGAGCTCAATGGCCAATTTTATTAACCTTCACGAGGCGTCTGGCTTCTGCAGGACCTGTCTCAACCGGAAGTTTGTTAGGATTTGAATATTTTGGGCCTGGAAATTTGGCCTCAACTTTCGCGAAGCGTTGACCAATGAAAGATCCAACTTCTCCATGTTTGGATAACGCGCTTCGGTAAGCAGCAAGGCTCTGCGACATAGTAGATCGGTAATTGGTGCGTTTCTTCTTCTCGTACAAGCACCGAGCTAATCGAACCTTCGGCTACTGCCAAGTATAATAGCAAAGGTTCCCCTCCTTTGGCTTGCTGAGGAGTGGTGTTCGTCCTAGATAGTTTTTCAACTCTTGGAACGCTTCTTTGCACTCCAGGGTCCATTGGAACTTTTTGCCTCCTTTGAGGACTTTGAAGAAGGGTAGACACTTTTCAGTGGCCTTTGAGATGAAGCGATTCAGTGTGGCTATTCTACTAGTAAGCTGTTGCACTTCCTTGGGCTTTTGTGGTGGCCTCATTTCAATTAGAGCCTTGATCTTTTCTAGGTTGGCCTCTATTCCTCTTTAATTCACAATGTAGCCCAAGAATTTTCCTGGGACTATGCCAAAAGCACATTTAAGGGGGTTTAATCTCATGTGGTACCTTCTCAAGGTATGGAAGGCCTCTATCAGATGTTTAATGTACTCCTTAGCTAGGAGGCTTTTCACAAGCATGTTATCGACATAAACTTCCATCGTCTTGTCGAGCTGATCAGCAAATATCTTGTTGACTAGCATTTGGTAAGTCATCCCAGCGTTCTTTAAACCAAAGGGCATCACTTTATAGCAGTAAAGTCCCCAATTAGTGATGGAAGAGGTGTTCTCCTCGTCACCCGGGAACATAGGGATTTGATTGTAGCCTGAATAGGCATCCATGAAGCTTCACAATTCATGCCCAACAGTTGAATCTACTAACTGCTCGATTCTTGGGAGTGGAAAGCTATCCTTTGGGCAGGCCTGATTAAGGTTAGAAAAATCAATACAAACCCTCCATTCGCCATTGTAATTCTTCACAAGTACAGCGTTAGAAATCCACTTTGGATAGTTAGACTCGTAGACGAAGCCATTGTGGATAAGTCTCTCCACCTCTTCTTTCAGGGCCTCATACCTTTCGACATTCAATACCATCATCTTATGCCTGTGTGGAGCACAGTTCGGGTCAATTTGTAAATGATGGCAACTGACTTTGGGGTCTATCCCTATCATGTCTTCATCTCTCCATGCGAAGACATCTGAATTCTTTCGAAAGAAATCTTTCGGTTCTTCCTTGATATCTTGTTCCAATTCTTTTCTGACCCTCAAGACCTTTGATGTATCTTGGGGGTCCACTGGGAATGTTTCAAGTTTTTCCATTGGGGTGGTTTGTGATTCCAACTCAATCACCCTGGGATCCAACTCTTCTAGGGATATTTCTGACCTCTGTCATGACGATGTCTTGTGTTGGAGGTTGCCC